GGCAGCATTTGAACGGGTAATTGCCATCGGGATCGAGTAACGAGCGCTCTGATGCCAAATGATAGAAACCTGTTTGAATTAATTCAGGATCTAAATTAATTCTAAATAGAACTCTCCCTCCCTTCTCACAATAAGAATCTCACCAATGAAAAAGTGATAGAAGCCAAGAGGATCTCAATGTGATTGATGGTTTATTTTCCAGGATATCTCAGCAATAGAGAGGCTGGGATATTTATAACAACTCTAACAAATGGATAAGATCAAACTGATCGGATAAGATCAAGAGAATAAAGTGATAAGTTCTAACTAGCTAAGCTATCCTAGGGCCTCTGGAATCCTAATAACTTGAGAGTCCTTTTATTTAATAAATATAAAATAGTAACAAACTTAATTAACCCACACCTAATAATATAATTAAGGCGGCCTTTTGCTATCACTGATCCGGATCTTATCATCCTCGCTCGTGTGTAGCCAATTGGAGCATGAGAGATTCACATTCTCCTCATGAAACAGATTGTTGAAGTAGCTCTTTCACCGGTCGTTTATGCTTTCATCGGAAACCAAAACTTCACCATTCGCCTTGAAAGTGCCTGTCAATGAATCTCCTCATCTGGAATGTTAATGGCATAACCCCAAGGTGCCGGAGGTTATGCCAACTTCTCAGGCACTGGAACATCAATTTAGTTGCAATTATTGAGCATAAGGTGCAGGGTGAGAAGTCTGATTTCTTTTCATTTCAACTTGGGGCCTTGGGCTTGACAACTTTATCCAAGGCTGCAATAACGAAGTTTGGCTTGGATGGAGAATGGGTGAATATATTGTTCATAGTTGTGTTGATAGGGACCAAGTTTTGCACTATCACCTTTCCTAACTTACTGACCCCTCTCTCTCCTTCTGGATTTCCATTGTTTATGGCAAGCATAACTTGGTTGCTAGAAGGGAACTATGGACTGAACTCAAAAGATTCTCTTCCAATGTTGACATCCCATGGCTTGTTGGAGGGGATTGCAATGCCATCTCTTCTATAGATCATCACCAAGGCCAGAGAGCTCCTGATTTACACAGCATAGATGACTTACAGGTGTGCATCATGGACTGTCAGTTTATGGAACCTTCCTTCTCTGGCAATCCCTTCACTTGGAAGGGTAATAGAGCTAATGACAATGTTTGGAGGAGACTTGATAGAGTTTTCTCTAACTCTTTTTTTGGGGAAGCTTGGGACAGTATTCAAGAGCATCATGCTGCTAGGGGAAAGCTCAGATCAATGTCCCTTGAGGCTTGATCACTAGTTGCATCAAAGGTCCAGGAGGGGGCCCTAGAGCTTTTAGATTTTTAAATGTGTGGGTCACTCATCCTTGGTTCATGGAGTTGGTCAGTACCATTTGGTCTCAAGACAGGCCTCGTGGAGGTATGGGAGGCCTCATGGCCAAGCTCAAAAAGCTTAAATCTGCTCTGAGGGACTGGAGCAACATTGTTTTCGGCAATATATTCAAGGGTCTTCAGGGGCAGAGGAGGATGCCAAAATAGTTGAGGATATTTATGATGCTTACCTTATTGAAGAAAACAGACTATCATGGAGTGAGCAGAAGGCCATGCTCGCAAGGGTGTTCAATCAATCATATCTCTTCTGGAAACAAAAAGCTAACCTAAAATGTCTAGAGGAGGGGTATTCCAACACAGCTTTTTTTCATCAATATGTTAATCACAAAAGAAGACAACAACATATCAAATGTGCCAAACTTGATGATGGAATTCGGACATTTGACCACAAGTGCATTGAAGATGAGGCCATTGCTTACTACACCAAACAGTTTACTAGTGATCCTGCCTAAGGGGGACCTGTTGGACAACATACCTAACATCATTACTTAAGAAGATAACACAATGCTGATGGAACTTCCAGATGAAGTGGAGGTCAAGAAGGCTGTGTGGGAACTGGGAACTCGGAGAAAATAGTGCAGCAAGGCCCGATGGTTTTAAGGGACACTTTAGATCATATTGGCAGATTGTTAAGGTGGATGTCACTAAAGCCATACAAGAAATCTTTCTGGGCTTTCCTCTACCTAAAGCTGCTGGTGCCACAAGCATTGTGCTCATTCCAAAAAAAAAACAACCCAGCTGATTTTGGAGACTACAGACCAATCAGCTTATCCACTTTTGCAAGTAAGATTGTTACAAGAATCTTAGCTAACAGACTGAGCAACTAACTTCCCAGAATTATTTCTATAGAACATTCAAAAAGGACTTGAAACTAAATCCCATTTTTTCTGGCTAAAGAAATGGATTGCCATTTGGATAATAAAGTGAGAGGGGGAGCCTTATTATTATGCTTGATATGTGCAAGCCATTTGATAGGGTTGAATGGTTCTTTTTGCAAATGGTTAGCAAATTTGGCTTCACTATCAAGTTCCAAATCATTCTCAACTACTTCAAAGGCTCTTTCTTCTCAGTCCTCATCAATGGCAAAGCATGTGGCTTTTTCCAACCAAGTAGGGGACTCAAACAAGGGGACCCTCTTTCTCCTTTGCTCTTCATCAAATGCTCAGAGGTCTTCACAAGAGTCATCACAAAATGGAGTAAACAGAGACTCATTGAAGCCTACAATGCTGGTAGGTTGCCCCTTGCATCAGCCATCTAGCCTATGCTGATGACTTTATCCTCTTCATTAATGGGACCCTTGGTAATGTTAGAGCCACCATGCAACTGCTTGCTGCCTATGAAGAGTGCTCTGGCCAACTCAGATCCACTCCCCTATATGGAAGAGGATAGCTGGTCTCCATGAATTTTCCCTCAGCTGCACTGATATGGAAACCTTAAACAGCCCTGTTTGGCTCCTTGAAAGCAATGGAAGCTTCTCTCTTAGATCAGCTTATGAACAGATAAGGGCCACATCCGCTACCCTAAGATCTCATGAGTACATTTGGTGCAAGCATCATGTCTCTAAAGTGAGTACCTTGTGGAAACTATTCCACAAAGCACTACCACGGCCTGATAACTTAGCAAGACTTAATGTCCCCTCTCTAACTGAATGCCCCCTATGCAATGAAGAACCTCCCTCAGCAAAGCACTTCTTTTTTGAATGAGATTACACCACTCCAATATGGCAGGCACTATTCTGGGGCAGTGGTGGGAATCAAACACTCCTGGAAGCCCACACTTAACCAAAACATGATCGCTTGGTGGCTCATAGCTCAAGGACCCCCAACTTTCAGTGATATACTTCGTAATCTCCCTGGTTTCATATGCTGGTTCATCTGGAAAGGCCTGAACTCAGGTACCAAGGAATTCCATTCCATTTTGAAGGCATCATTCACCAAATTCAAGGAGTTTACCTACTCATGGACCCTCTCAATTCTTCTCACAGCCAATTATGGAAGCCAGTATGAAGATCTAGTACAAGATAATCTCAGCCTCAGAAGACCCTTCATCATCTACACTGCCTTACAAGTAATCAAGTGGCGGCCACCGGACCCCGGAAAATTAAAACTGAACGTTGATGCCTCATATTCAGCTGGCTTAGAAACAGGAGCTAGCATCCTGCGCGACAGGGAGGGAATATTCATGTTTGGGCTGGCCTTTCCAGTCCATTCACACTCTAACTCTAGTATGGCAGCTGAAGCTCAAGCAGCACTAACGTGTCTTAAGGTGATATCCAAATGGTATAACAACATCTTCATGGAAATGGATGCTTTGGATGTCGTCAATAACATCAAGGTACAACTTTTGGCAATATCAAATGCCTGGCAACTTTGATCAAGGAGACGGCAACAGACTATGGGCATGCACGTAGAGAAGCGAATATGGCGGCTCACCACCTCGCTTGCATCAAAGTTTCTACTCTCACATTTTTTCCTTTTATGTGTGCCTGACCTAAGCTTTTATACACACACACACACATACATATACATATATATATATATATGTATGTATATGTATATGTAGATATATATATGTGTGTGTGTGTGTGTATATGTATGTGTATGTGTATGTGTATGTGTATGTGTATGTGTATGTGTGTGTGTGTGTGTGTGTAGATGTAGATGTAGATGTGTACATGTGTGTGTGTGTGTGTATAGGCTGTTCTCTTTTGATGCATTGCTGCATTCTTTGCCCAAAATTTCGTAGCCGTTAAGGAAAAATGAAGTTTAATGTGCCATATTGTTTTAGACCATTATTGATGTGAAGCTAAAATACTTTTTAAAATGTCTCTAAGCTCAATTAAGATTTGCCAATGGAAGCCAGTAATAAAAAACAAGACTCAAAAAAATAAAAAAAGCGTTGGCTAGATCACTCAAAAAATGGTGGTGGCTTGGCACAGTTGTGTAAGGGGACAATGTTGGCCCAGGACGATAAGCTGATATATGCAAGGGCGATAACAACACTTGCTTTGAATGAAGAATTGGTGAGGTGGCATATGGAATTTGGTTGCTTAGGCAAGGGTTGCAAAAGACTTTCTATTTCAATGGTATAGGCATTAGATTGTGTATGAGGTCCTAGGTTCTATCTCTTGACCAGTTAGGTGAACATTGTTCTAATTAACCCTAGTAGTGCTGCAAAAGGGTCAAAATTCTCTAACATTACTTGAATAATGCATGTAGTGAGCCAAAGAAGTTAGGGTCGAGCGGCAGAGTTGTGGCTCTCCAAAATGAGAGGTCACACCTTAGAACCCAAAGTTGAGAAAGTATGTATGAACTATGAACAAATACAACATTGTAATAGAGTTAATAGTACCAAGAATGCATGCAGTGTAGTATAACCTTTGTTGTCTCATGGTCACATGGTTAGTGCTTTCTAACTTTACTGATTTATTTATAGGGAGTTAAATATTTTGCATTCTTATTGAGTTATATTTTAATTTGTTTGTTCAAAACCATGTAGTTCATTTTATATACTTTTGACTTGTTGCCTGCTTTGTTCCTACACGGCTACACCTTATTGTCCTTTCCTGGTTGGTCTTGTATTGTTTTTAGAAAGCTAAAGCTGGTTTACCAAATTTTCAGGATCCTTATTTCCGAATGACACGTGATGTGGCTCCTCGTATAGGCTATCATAAGCCTGCCTTAATTGAATCATCATTCTTTCCTGCTCTACAGGTATTGCCTTCTCTAGAATGTTGCTTGTTTTTAGGACTTTTCTATACAATCTTCCTTTTTCTGATTTTGGATGGGTTGGAGCTTGAAAGTGGGAGGATTGGGGGAAAGAATGTGGTAGAGGATAAAGAATGCATGTAGAGGGATAGGGCAGAGTGATGAATTTGGGCGATGTGATACAGTGATACTAATATTTTGAATATTCTTGGTGTTATTATTAGTTTCCTATTTGTAGTCTTGTTCTAATTTAGTTAATCTTTCTTAAGAGATTTATTATTACTCTCCTATTAGTAATCTTATTATATTTTAGTTAATATTCCTATTAATGATTTACGTTTATTAATGTGATTAGGGTAGGTTTCTTGCAAGGCTTTGCTTATTTATATTCAAAAACTCTATCAGTAAGATTATGGTTGAAGTCAAATATCTAATTATAAGAAGCTAGTTACATACTGTTCTCCCCTCCTTCCTGCCACGGGCAGGGATGAATCAATATACTCTTCTTTTATGTTCACTAATGTGTTCGTAACAAATTGATATATCAATGAGTAATGATTATGACTGTATCAGTGTATCACAATGCATATAGTGAAAGTATAAAGATGTGACAGTTCTGTGTTGAGATTTGAATTGACGTGTTCTCCCTTTAACCCTTTCATGCTCTTGACGCTTGGCGGGGATGGAAAACTGTTTATATGATTGAGTATTTTTCTTCCTCATGTTCTTTCTTATCCAAACTAGAGACACATTATTTTCGATCACCCAAGCACCCATGGAGAGTGCAGCAAAGTGATTGCACTTTTCTCCTCTTTGAAGTTTTGAGTCCTCACTTGGGTAAAATAAGGACATGGAATCATTGATAGGACATAATGAATTTTAACGCAGTGGATATTCATATACTGGTTGAAGTCTAATTAGGTATCCAGGCACCAAATAGTGCTTTATCATTAATTTTTATTTTATCCTGGTCAGGAGTTTTAAGGCAGTACATCAAAGGAACCTATAGCTTCAACCACATTTTCCCCATCAGATCTTGATTTCCACAATTATGGCTTGAGTACTATAAAAGCACGACTCCGTAGCAACCAAATTTATTTTCTGAGATTATCTTTATCCAACTATGCAAATCTTTTGTTCTGTTTATGGTCCTTTTGTGCTACTTAATTATGCAATCCATTAAAATTTTGAATCTCTGTTGGTCCTTCCATTTGATCTTTTAGGGAGAGACTGGAAAAATGAATGCAAGTGTTCCTTGTTCTGCAATATATGTAACAGATTCTGCAAAACAAATAAAAGACAAGGTTTGTTTTAGTACTCGCTTTCCTTTCAGTCTTTTTAACAGCTCAGTACTTCCAAACATTATCCTGTTACAGAACTAATTCCACTTTAGTTCTGTTATATCACTTCCCTTATTTCCCTTTCAACTCAAAAATTGGATTTGAAATGCTCGTTTTCTGGAACCAAAAGCATTAGGTTTCCATTTGCTGGGCATGTGGGCAATGTGAAAAATATTTCCTCGTGAGAACAAGGTTCTTAAGGCAAATAGATTAATGCTCCTGAGAATGACTATTTTGTTTTCTTCTCTATTTGTAACTATTCCCAGATAAATAGGTATGCATTTTCAGGCGGGCAAGATTCTATAGAATTGCACAGAAAACATGGTGCAAACCTTGAGGTATATCTTTTCTTAGTTCTATTTTGTCTGAATATTATGTTTACATAACATGCCACAGTATTGGATGTTTTACTGAAAAAGTGCACTTGTGTTTTTAATCAATATCTTATCATCGATGAATTTTTAATCGTTTTGCTTAGCATTTAATATTCTGTGGAAACAGAATTTTATTAGGGGCTGTATTTCCGTTGGCTCTTGGAAATGACGTGATTTTTGTTTACCTTTGTATTCTCTCTATCCTTTGCACATGAAAATTACATGAAGCCTTGGTGTTTTGTATTTTATACTTTTGTTTTCCCCCCTAACCCAACCACTTCTCTTGAAATCGGGGACATTGTTTAGGTTGATATACCGATCAAATACCTGGGATTTTTCCTGGAAGATGATGCAGAACTCGAGCACATTAGAAAGGTATGATACTTTATACAGAATATTTGTCTTTGGATTAAAATTGTAAATGCAACAAGTTGAATAACCAAGATGGAAGTATTGACTTTTTTTCTTATCTTCTTTGTCGACCTTCTCCAATTTCATATCTGGCTTGTATGATCTGTTCTGAAATTCTAAATATTTCTCATTTTTAGGAGTATGGTGCTGGCCGTATGTTGACCGGTGAAGTCAAGAAGAGGCTCATTGAAGTTCTAACCGATATTGTTGAAAGACATAAGCGCGCTAGAGCTGCAGTTACTGATGAGGTACATGAATTATTTTTACTAGTACCAGTATACGAAGTATATGGGGGATTTTGCTTTTACTCTTCCTTCCCCCCTCCCCAAAATCCACCCACGCACCCACATAAACACACAATTTAGAACTGTTAACTCATTTGAGATTATGATACCTGTTGCGCTTCTTGTCCTTGTTTCTGTGCACAGATGGTAGACGCGTTCATGGCAGTACGCCCACTTCCTAATATGTTTTCCTGAACAAGGTTTATATTATCACCAAGGTTCTTTTGACATTAGAACCTTATATTATTATAAATTAGAAGCTTTACATTCATTTTATTGGAACTGTCTGTGCTGGGGAATTTTGCTGTTAGTTGTGGACAACACTATTGAAACTTGTAATTTGTGAGGCATTGCTATAAGTGAGATTTAAGGAAGCATACTGAAGCAGATGAAAGAACATACGTACAATATCCTCATTATGGTATCTCCTAAATTTACAACATATCAATTATCAAAACAGGTACCAAATTCGAATTTTGTTTAAGCTTTATCAACACCCACAATAGAATTCTGATATCAGAATATATCAAGGCCCATATATCTTTCTCCCACCAAATGGGACCTTAGAAATTTGGTGGGGTGTTTGGGTTCGCAATATACTTGCAAAAATGCTAGGGAGGCCCCAATATTTTGACACCAAATGCACACTAAGACCAATACAACACAATCGGACATTTAATGTATGCGCACAGACATTAAATGTCCAGTTGTGTCTGTATTGGCCTTAGTGTGCATTTGGTGTCGAAATCACCATGCTCGAGTGATCTTTTATTAACTGTACTCCTTAAAATATACTGTGTATATTCTCTATAAGAGCATCACTATTCATTCTTCTCACATCATCTATTTCTAATCTCAAATCACTTTCTCCTTCAACTTTCTCCACTATTCTCTAATTATTTCCTTTTTTTTCACATGTCATCTTTTCATTTGTACAAAAAGTAAAATAAAAAAGCAATTGCCCAATCACTTTTTTTTCTTTCTCCAGTGGAAGGGAATATTATTCCTCAAGGACTTTCTCTCCCATCTATTCTCTTTCAAATCATTCTTCTCATCTTTTCCCCACCACATCATCATATTTCTTCCCATTATTGATATCCTAATACGGAGCATCAGTTTTCCAATTCAGAGAGTGTTGATCATCCAAATTCGTTGATATTAGCATAAAACTTTATTGATGTTATAAAAAGTTGTGCATTGTATATAAGAAAATATGGGGCCCCGTAAAACTTAACGTGGGTCTACCTATGGGCCTCGTTAAATTATAGAATTAATCTAGGTGTACTCTAAAATAAGGTACTTCATACAGACACACAGACTCTCCATGTCTGTGCTTGCACATACATTGAGAGTCTGTGTATGTATGTGAATATCTGTGGTACAAATAATGCATCTCATTTTGGAATACACCTAACATTGTCCTAAATTTAATCATATGTCGGGCCTAGGGGTGGACATGATAACGGTACTGTGACCGGCAATGTATCGCTGATACCCGCCACCGTCACCGTCGGCCGGGACGTCCCAACGGTTTCAGAAACCGGTACCGGCACCGCCCCCTTGTTACCGGTTCTGGTACCCATTTTTTCGGTACCGGAACCGGCGGTACCGGTTCTGGTACCAAAATTAATTTTTTTTATTTAATGCATCCAAGTAACGGCTACCTGCAAAAAAACAGCAAAAAAAAAGTTAGTAGGTGAGGGGGGAACGACTAATAGCCGTCTGAGGTGGGGGGGGGGGGTTGGGTGGTAGGAAACACTATAAATAAACCCATTTTTTAAAAAAAAATTCACACTCACTCAACTCTCTCAATTCAAATCTCAATCTCTCATTTCTCAATCCATTCATTATTACATCTCTAATTATCTATTAATTCTTATTATCTCTTTTCAATTTTTATAGAATTTATATTCATATAATAATATAAATATATATTAATATATTATATAATAATATATAAATACATTCATTATTCATATTATCAATTATCATATATTATTATTTACTAATATTATAATTTTGAAATTTCCGAAATTCAATATATAATTAATACTCTCTCCGTCCGGGAATGATGTTCCCGTTCTACTCTTTTTTCCGTCCGGAAATGATGTTCCCATTCTACTATTTTTTCACTCCTCTTCCAAAATTACCCTCCTCTTCCTTCTTTTCCTTTTTTCTTTTCCCTTTCCATCTTTTTTCTCCTCCACCCATTTTCCTCGTCTCCTCCATCTCCGTCGTTCCTTCTTCCTCTCTTCTTCTCCTCCTCCTCCTCCTCCTCCTCCTCCTCGTGTCTTTCTCTCCCATCTCTGGTTTTCTTTCTTCAATCTCTTCCAACTCTTCTCCTCTTTCCCCCCCCCTTACTTTTTATTCTTCTTATCTTCCCCTTCTTCTTTCTCTTCTATCTTTCTTCTAGATCTAGGTATACACAAGGCGGCGATGATGGCGGCCGGCGATAGCGATGGTGAGTCTACACTTCTTCCTCTCTTTCTTCTTTTCTTTCTCCTTATTTTTTCTTTTAGATCTGTACCACGGTGGTGGTAATGGTGGGGCCGGCGTCGATGGCAGGACTGCCGTGGGGCTGTGCCGATGATGGTGTGACTACCGGTGGTGGTCGGTTAAAGATCTACGGTAGTTGTGGGGGATGGGGTGGCGCCGTGGCGGTGGGATTGGCGGCGGCAGCTGGAGCGGCGGTGGGGTTGGGCCGGTGAGTTCCAGCGGAGGTCGTGAATGGTGGGTAGGGATGGGTGGATATGTGCTAGGGCATTTTAGTCTATTCACTCCTTTAGTCAATGCCTCTTAAAAATGAGGAAAAGTCAAAGTGGGACTATCATTCCCGGACGGAGGGAGTATTATAAATATTTTAATATAGTCTTTTTTATCAAAAAAATATATATTAAAATGTCAAGAGAGTCCGGTAGAAGGTCGGTGGATATGGGCGCCGTGAACCGAAGTTTGAGGAGAGGCAAATCTAAGGCCATCTCCGACGGTTCAAACTCACGCGGACGCGGTTCTCAAGGAAGACACTCCGTCTCTTCCTTCCCTAGTATCCCCGATCAATTCGTGGGCGACGCTTTCACGGATCAAGAATTCGACCATTATATGTCAGGTAGAAATTATATGTCAGGTAGGGCAACACCAGTCTCGAAACTCTTGAAAGTTTATTCGAGGACATTGATGAAGCAGGAATGGATGTGGAGCCTACATCGCACAACAATAATCCTACCGACATCGACGAGGAGGCAGGTGAGCCCGAGACCTCTCAAGGTCCGGACAAAGGTAAAAAAAATAAAAATCGGATTTATTTGTTTATCATTTTTAAAAAGAAACAAAAGATGGCATAGTTTTTGGAATTTGTAATTATTGTGCCACCGCCATTAAAATGGGAGTTTCCGGCGGTTATGGTGGTTCGGAAAAACACCTAAGGTCGAGGCATCCCGTGGAGTACGCCAAATACGCGGCGAAAAAGAAGTGCAGACTCAAATTTCTCGGTTTGCTAACATGGGTAAGGGCGGATTTTTTGCTTATAGCGACGAGCAAAATAAGCAAAAAATGGCCGAAATGATTTGTGAAGAAAATTTGCCATGCATGTTTTCTGAAAAACTTGGATTTATTGATTATCGTCAACATGCATTAAACCCTCAAGCAAGAGGTTTTTCAAGAAAAACAATTAAGCGAGAAATTATTCGACAGTATAAAGTTGAAAAAATCAATTTGGCAAATTTTTTTCTCAATTTTAATTCTCGTGTTACTATTTGTTCTGATATTTGGGGTGAAACATAGCATAATTTGTCTTATATGGGTGTTACTTGTTATTGGATAGATAGTGATTGGATAATGCATAAGCGTGTTCTTGCATTTCGTGATTTCAATGATTCTCATACGGCTGAAAATATTTTTCTATTGCTTCAGCGTATTCTGCGGGAATACAACTTAGTTGGTAAAGTGTTTGCATTTGGTTTTGATAATGCTACTAATAATACTGCTGCTATTCTTAAACTTAAAAATTTTTGCCCCATACTACGAGTATGGGTAGATTTCTGCATCAAAAGTGTGCTTGTCATGTTTTATATTTATGTGTTCACCGGGGATTAGAAGCTATGGGGAGGTTTGACGAATATTAAAAATGGAATTAGAAGGATTTGGAGTAGTCGTCTTCATTCGAATTCCTGGAAGACATTCTGTAAGTCTAATGGTAAAAGAGCAATAACATTTGCCAAAGATATTACCATTAGATGGAATATTACATATAAGTTGATAGCACAGATTCTAAGCTACAAAGAGAAACTTGCTGAATTTTTTAGGGATGAACTTCTTTTAATGATTTCACTTAATGATTTGTTATTGTTGAAAAATTGAATGCCGTATTAGAAGTTTTTAATAGCACAACTCTTACTTTTTTGCATGTTTACCAACCAACCACAAATAGATTTTTTAAAGAGTGCGTTACAATCGCAACATGTTTTCGTGAAAGTTTGGCTGATCTAGATTTGTACCCTTATGTCTCTCCTATGAAAGATAAATAGTGTGCTTATTATTTGTACATTCCTGATAATTATAAAATAGGTATTATTTGTGATCCATGCTTTAAGATTGAAAATTATAAAATTCTAATTGACTATTATTACAGTTGTTTTTTAGATGAAAATAATTATTACTACACCCATTTAATTGAATGCGGAAAAGAAAGAGATAATGCTATTACTCTTTTTGAGGCTTTATTTAAGAAATTTCAAAGGATATACGGTAATGTACCAGAAGAAAGGTTTTAAAGGAATAGTCGGTGGGCTTCTTGCAAAGAAAGGGAAGCGTGCTCAGCCTTCGACGAGTTCAGGTGGTACAACTGTAAGCTCACACAACGAACTTGTTATGTATCAAGGGGTGGCATACGATTATGGCGACGATGACGATGTGGAGTTTGACGTCCTCGGATGGTGGAAGCGGAGCGAACACATGTTCCCATGTCTCGGAATGCTAGCAAGACAAGTTTTATCCATCCCGGTATCAACCGTAGCAGTGGAACAAGAATTTAGTGCTGGCGGCAACATTCTAACCGACTTCCGAAGTTGTCTTAGCGCTGAATCTCTTGAAACACTTGTTTGCAATCGAGATTGGCTCTTGGCAAGATGTCGAGCTCAAGAGTCAGGATACGATTTCAATTCCGATTATTACATAAATGCAACGACAAATGGAAGCCCGAGTTCTGAGAAATAAGTTATAAACTTTTTTATGTTAATGTAGATATGTAATTAGTTTTTTTAGGTGAGCGATGTATAAGCTCTTTCGAGGGTTTCTTTACGGTTCTTTACCTCATCACTTTTTTTGAACCGTCAGGATATTAAATGTAGTTGTTCTTCCGTTCGTGTATTACTCATTTTACAATATTTAAATAAAAACTACATTTTTAGATTTTTTTATTTCATTCTTTTCTTTAACAATTGCACATTTACAATTTTACACTTTAAAAATTTAAAAAAAATCCAAAAAAATTGGGGGTGGCTGAAACCAGCCGGTCCGGTACCGAAACCGCTGGTTTGGGTACCGGAACCGGTACCGTCTGGTCCGGTCACAGTGCCGATACCAAGGGGTGGGGGTACCAAAACCGTCCCAGAACTGTACCGTGTCCACCCCCAGTCGGGCCTCTTCTCACTTTTCAATCATTTGAATGTGGTTTTTAGGTCATGTTATCTTCACCTGATTTGAATGGTTCTGATTTGATTGAAATAAGTTCTCATCTGAATGTAGTTATATTTTAAGTATTTCTGATCTGACCTGGTATTGAAGAGAACATTGTTAGCCTTGGTTTGCTAAGTCTCATGTTTTGATGTTAACAAACAATATAAGAGCTTAACGTTTGTTTAAGTGTTTCAGGAAAACAAGAATCCATTAAGATTCGGTACTCAAGAATGAAGTCGAAACACTAAAACTAGCGTAGAATATAGGTAGAAACCAATGTAAGGATATGACTTTATATACCTATATTCACAAGCTCAAAAGCACTCACAAAATATGTTTAAAACCATCACATAAACACTTTCAAATATATAAAAGGTTTTAAACTCAAACACGAAGGATTAAGGGAATTTTAGAAAAATCAGAACAGAGTCACGGTACCCCTAGCGGTACGCCACACGGTAGGGTATACCGCCTACAAGGTACCCCCATACCGTGTAACGGTACCTAGGTACCGACGGTAGGCGTAGACGGTTGGCCGAACCCGACCTAACCAGGTACCGCCAGAGGCGAACTGAACTTTTGGAAGACACGGTACTCCCACACGGTAGGCCGTACTGTGTCACGGTACCTANATCCTTCATATTTCTTCAAGAAACAAAGCTCTAAACATCCCCCCTTTATATTCTAAGTGTGTTCATTCTTTTATTAATTATTTTCAATATTTTAGCTATTTCAAGAGCCTTAACTTCCTGATTTTTATACACACACTTTGAGCTTGTGTTTGTAGTTATATACTCTCATATTCATAAGTTTGAATTGTATTTTTGAGAGAGTATACTTTCCTTCTACACCGGCTAAGTTTTGTTCTTCATTTTAATATTCTAGCCGTTGTGTAGAATCTACTTTTGTGTTCTTCAAACACATCTTCTTACGGTCGAGAATAGCCGTCAAATTCTCACGTTGTAACGGTTAAGGATAGCCGTATAAATCCTTGGGTAAAGGTTCAAGGATAGCCTTTGAAATCCTTGGGGGAACGGTAGAAGATAGCCGTTAAATCTTCGTTGTAAACGGTTCGAGATAGCCGTTGTGAAATCTCGGAGTGAATCCTATTGGCAAGGGTTGTTTGCCAAAACTAGTGCGGTGCTTTGACAGAGTTCAAGAGGCCGAAACTTAGTGGATTCGGAAATCCTTGAGGAGGAGCCTCGAGGTACTGGAGTAGGGGTTTCCCGAACCAGTATAAATTCGGTGTGCATTTTATTTACGCTTTTATTTTTGCGTTTTATTTATTGCTTCCGCATTTGCCAACACCGTTTTTATTAAACTTTGAAAAGTTTTTAAACGCCTTATTCACCCCCTCTAAGGCGTGGGCACAACGACTAAACCGACTAACAAACATGACCATAATCTCTAAAAATAGCACTAATATTATATAAAAAGCACTCCCTTAGTTTTTCTACTTAAATGGGAATTCTAGTATGAAGACATTCTAATTATACCATTTTAATAATTTTTTGACTTTTTTAATTTTAGGAGTTGAGTTATTTTCTTTCCACAAATGTAGTGATTACGTTTTATGCATTCCTTACACAGTCGTGTTGCTCAAACTATAGTGTGGCGGCAATGTTGGCTGTAAGACTGGGGTGAGGGTGATTGTGATGGCAATGTGGTAATAACAGTGACAATTTGGCAGGATAGTGGCTATGAGGTGGCAGGGTTAGAAGTATGGTAGGGGGATGGTATTGTGGTGGTGGTGATGATGATGGTAGTAGTGGCACTGATGATGATAGTGTGGTGGTGGGAGAGACAATGTGATGGTGAAGGATTATAGTGTGACTGGGACGCTGATGTTGGTTATAGTAGTGTGACAGCAGCAAGCATAGCGATGGTGGCAGTAGCGGGGTTTATATTGGTGGCGGCAATGTGGTGGCGACAATGATGACAGTGTGGCGACGGGAGGAGGCAGTGTGACAGCGCAGGGAGACGGTGTGGAGGCTATGTAGTGCCGTGGCGGTGGTGGGAGTGGTGGTGTGGGAGGCAGTGTGGCGGGGGAGGGAGGTAGTGGTGGCAGCAGGGGAAGGCAGTGTGGCTGCAATGGAAAGCAATGTTGTAATGCAAATTAATACTCCCTCCGTCCCAAATTATAATTCCTGTTTACTATTCACAAGGTCAAACTTCATTCACTTTCTTTCTCTATTTTCATTAGCAATTTGATAAAATAAAATATTATTGTCACTACTAGTTTTGTAGATCTTTTGATGTAGTTTTTTAATATGTAATTTTTATTTTTTTTAATTCTATACCATTTGTCATATAAAATGGTTTGAAAATAATTTCAGTCAAACATCGTAAACCGAAACAGGCATTATAAAATGGGAAGGAGGTAGTATAATCTTAGGAATTAAGAAAAAAATGGTAGAATGAGCGTATTAAAGATAGTATCACGCCGGATACTCCTAGTAATGTTAAAAATGGCATAGCATTGCTAGATAGGTGATTTTAACTACATTATAGTGATATATAGGGAAATCTCCTTTAAAAGAGTAAAACTACTAATTTGGACAATTCAACAAAGCCAACGTTAAAAGCAGAAGTCCTATCCATTATTCAATAATTATGATGATGTGTTTTTTTCCAAATTAGTTTCAAGTTGAATTAACTACCAAGATGAAACTCATTAATTGTGAATAATGCTCAGTTTAGTCTTTCGACTAACCATAATCAAAACGATGTTAAAACTTATACCATTTTCTCAAAACAATCCTTTTTGATTGGGTACTTTTCCAAATTAGTCTACTTTTAAAATAAAAAGTCATTAAATATGAAAAAAATATTTTTAAATTTTATAGGATGACAATATAATAAATAAAACTTTAAATCTAATTTAATAACTTAAAAATAAAAGTTTCTAATTGTTTAAAATTATTTAGAAGAATACCAAGTTAATAAAAGATTTAGAGCATGTTCTTTAGGGCTTAAACTCTCAACTTCAGTTCCTTCCAATTTCATTCAGTTTCTTTCACTTTCTTCCAGTTTCTTTCAGTTTTTCTAGTCTTCGAGTTCCTTCTATTTTCTTTCAACTATTTTCTTTTTCTTCTAACTCTTTCTACTCCCCAACAAATTACTCTAAAAACGATATATTTTTAATGTGATAATAATTATTATTACAACTATTATGTCATAACTATAGTTTATAAATTATTTTTTCTACTATTTTTACGATTCACACTCATTATTATTATATTTTTTTATTCAACTTTTTAATATGAACAAAACATTTTTTTGTATATTAATCTACATGATAAAATAGAAAACATCAATATTTTAATTATATTAAAAAGTTATGGATAAAATAGTTACATATAATGTTTTAATAATCTAATTTTATATAAGACCCCTCACCTTTCCCTTTATTACTCAATTTTTTCTCATTTTTATTTATTTTAAAATTTAATTTTTTTTGTTTTTCTAATTTTTATAAAAAAAATTGAACGTGAAAATAGGTTAGAGATAAAGACTAAAATAGGAGTAAAAAATAAAAAAATGTACAAAAATAAAAGTTCTATGTCTTTATTCCAAAAACAGGAGTTACAATGAAAGTAAAATGTCAACCATGAAAGGAAAAATAGGTTTGATTACATTATGTGACATATATGATATTTAAAACAAAATCTTGTAATATATAAAGTAGAACTACAATTATATTATTTTAAAATAAATACTGCATAAATAAATTGAGGTGCAATGTAACCACAATAACTTTTTAAATTTAACATTTTGATATTTATGCTAATATTATATTATATTTTTTTCAGAAGTAGTTTTTTTGTATGAACAAGAACAATACTTTTTTTATCTTAGAGACATTTACTAAGATAACGTCATGATGATGATGATGATGATGATGATGATGATGATGATAATAATAATTTATAACAAGAATTAGAATGAGAATAATATAAAAATTCACTAAAATATTTTTTTAAAAAGTTTTTAGGTTTTCTAATTTTTTGAAGTTTTTTCAGTTTCTTCCGTTTTCTTTCAGTTTCTTCCAGTTCTTTCCAATTTATTCGAGTCCTAGTTTTATCCAGTTTCTTTCAACATCCAGTCTTAAAGAATAGGCTTTTAATGAACGGTTACATCCATTCTAAAATAAAAATCCTCCTTTGGTTTACGATATTTGACTAGAGTTATTTTAAAATTAGGACACAAATAGATGACATTTTTTAAATGTTTTTACATGATATATTCTAAATCATTATAAATAATCCAAAATGTTTACTTTCAAATTTATAAAACTTTTAATATAGTAAACCAAAGTTTCGGATTGTTTACAATGATTAGAAGAATATCATGTAAATAAATATTCAATAAACATTATCTATTTGTTTCCCAGATTTGAAATAATTTTGGTGAAATATCATTAACCAAAGCAAGAGTTTTCTTTTGGAGCGAATGTAACTGTTTATTAAATATTTTATTTACATGGCGATCTTCTAAATAATTTTAAACAATTAGAAACATTTATTTTTAAATTATTAAATTATATTTAATGTTTTATTTAATAAATTCTAGTCCTATAAAATTTTGAAATACTTTTCCATATTTAATGTTTTTTTAATAGATTAATTTGAAAAAACATTTAATTAGTCGAAATACCAAACTAAACTTTATTTTCAATTAACGAATAACATTTTAGAAATTTACTTTTTTTTTATTAGATTCATTTTTTGGCTAGCTTGAGGGTCACCAACTTGGCGCTTTGGCGGGAGAGTAATGTGATTTGTGAATTGTGAGTAGAAAAATTGTGCTATTCAAAGAGGGAATAATCCTACAAAATCAAGCCTTGAGAGTTGAACCTCCAAAAAATTGCTGCTGGGTACCCCTAATTTTGGGATAAAGACTAGTAGGTCCCATTTTTTTTCAAAATATACTCCGAGGTACCTTAAGATATTCGAAAACTGACTCCGGGGTGACAATCCGTCATTCTCTCCGTTAACATTTCTTCTCCGTTATCCTCCTCCTCCTCCTCTTCTCAAAAAATTGCTGCCAGGTACCCCTTATTTTCGGATAAAGACTGGCAGGTCCCATTTTTTAAAAAATTTACTCATGGGAATTTAAAATATGATGTTTGTGACTGAAGAGGGAACTTACGTATCATTTATAAAACTAAAATTATTTATTCACTTGGTTATAAATTATACGTCGTAATTCATAATAATATTAAATTTAACACTATTTTTATTGTTTCATATTATCTTTACAAGACATATTAAATTTAACACTATTTTTATTGTTTCATCTTATTCTTTTCTCAAGTCTTGTTTTCTCGATTTACCATGACACCATTACCAATGACGACTATCAATGACTAATGTGGAGTACTATTTTTCTAAATAATAATGATTGTTACTCCGTATTTCTTAAAAATAGAGTAATAAAATTACTACTCTGCAATTAACTTTTAATAATAATTAAGGAAATAATAGGAAATACATAATATTATCAATTTTGACCAAAAAAACAAAAGTAGACAAATACTCTAGAACAGAGGAGTAATTAATATGAAGTAATAATAATAACTAGTGATATTTTTAAAAAAAGTATAGAAGTAAAATTACTAATTAATTGCTTAAAATAAATAATAGTATTAATAATAAGTGCTATTTTTCTAAATAACAATTAGTGTTTTTATAGAAAAGAGTGGTAAAACTAACAATTAATTTTTAATAATAATAGTAATAATAATAAATCAAAAAATTAATAATAATAATAGAATAAGAAAATAATAATTATGAAGTAATTAATTATAATAATTATTAACAAATAATAATAATTATAATAGAAGAAGAAAAAAATAAAAGAAAAGGTAAAAGAAGAAAAAACGGGGGTGGGGGAGGAATGGAGGTCACTGGAACTCTGGAAGGTAAGAGAAAGAAGAAGAAAAGAAGAAAAGAACAAGAAGAAAAGAATGGGACCTGCCAGTCTTTATCCAAAAATAAGGGGTATTTGGCAGCAATTTTTTGAAAAGAGTTGGAGGAGGAGGATAACGGAGAAGAAATGTTAATGGAGAGAATGACGGATTGTCACCCCGGAGTCAGTTTTCGAATATCTTAAGGTATCTCGGAGTATATTTTAAAAAACAATGGGACCTGCTAGTCTTTATGTCAAAATTAGGGGTACCTAGCATGAATTTTTTTTGGTTGAACCCATCTCCATCGCAATAATCCAAACGGAAGGGTTCAGATTTTGAATCTGATGGGCAAGAGCGACGGCAGCCAGCAGCTGGCCTCCGCGAGGAGGGCGTACCAGCATGCCAAAGCGGAGGGCAACCGCCAGGAAGAGGCCAGGTGGGCGAATGTTATCGGCGACATCCTCAAGAACCGTGGCGAGTACTTCAAGGCCCTCAGGTGGCTCCGCATCGACTACGACATCTCCGTCAAGTACTTGCCGGAGAAGCACCTCCTCCCTTCGTGCCAGTCACTGGGCGAAGTCTATCTCCGCCTTCAGGACTTCGAAAGCGCCCTAATTTATCAGGCAAGCTTCCAAACCCATTTCTAATTTTGTTCTTTCCTCCTGGCAGCCAGATGGTGTTCTGTTTGCGTGCTGTACCCATTTTATTTCATGAACAGCTGCCAGTTCAGCATTATTTGGATCACTACAAAGATTAAAATGCGTTGTTTTTTTTTTAAATTTTTACTTAGACATTGGTAATGGGTTACTCCTTGGGTTTTTGGGTTTTACTCCGTATTGTCTTTGTAGCTGGAGGGCATCGGATGCTTGAAGTTATTTTCTTCCAACTGACCTTGATTGCTCTCAAGTATAATAGATTTCATTTTCCCTTGTTTTACTAGCTTGTCATTTTCTATTTTTCTTATGACAGAAAAAACACTTAGATCTTGCTAAGGATGAAAATAATCTTATTGAACAACAAAGGGCAACCACTCAACTAGGGAGAACATACCACGAGATGTTCTTAAAGTCTGAGGATGATCATTGCTCTCTGATAAATGCTAAGAAGTATTTCAAGTTGGCAATGGAACTTGCTCAAACTCTGAAGCGCAGTCAGCTATCTGAGAAGTTTTCATTTGTAAAGGAGTACATCGATGCACATAATAACCTAGGAATGCTTCAAATGGATCTTGATAACCCGGAGGAAGCCAAAACATATCTTTTGAAGGGATTAGATATCTGTGACGAAGAAGAGTTGAGTGAGAATGATGATGGGCGAAGTAGGCTTCACCATAACCTTGGGAATGTTTTCACAGAACTAAGGAAATGGGACAAAGCACGAGAGCATATTCAGAAGGATATTGTTATATGTAACAAAATTGGGCACTGCCAGGGAGAGGCGAAAGGATATATAAATCTTGGCGAGCTGCATTACAAGGTTCAAAAGTATGACGAGGCTATGACTTGTTATGCTAAGGCTCTTCACTTAGCTAAATTGTTGGAAGATGAGGGTGCTTTGGTTGACCAAATAAATCAGAACATGCAAATAGTAAATGAAGCACTCAAGGTACGGAATGAAATTGAAAAAGAAGAGCAAGTTCTCAAAAAGTTGGTAAGGAAAACGGAAATGACCAGAGGCACTGATGGCGAGAGGAAGTGCTTACTGCAACAGTATTCATCTCTTGTTCATCTCATTGAGAAAGCTAGCATAATTTTTGCGTGGATGAAAGTATGCCTCTAGTCTTACAACACCTTATGCTGTTTACATCTTTTTAAAACTTTCTGATTTGCTTCTCTAATGAAACAAAACATTTCGCCAAGGCTGCTATATGAAATCTGCTAAAAAAGGATGAACTTGCCTTCTTATGTGAGCAAGAATTATTTCCATACAAGCAATTTTTCTTAATTTTAATGTGTTGGAAAATTTTTGGTTCAATTTCTTATTAGGTTCTAGGATCTGATAAGAGGTTATTTTCAGTGTCATTTTGCAGCAACTTAATTTTATTAAAAGTTTATGTAAATTGTGATGGTCATTATGTTGTACAAAAATAGTTAGTTTGTTAGCAGTTAGTAGTTGGACACTAGGACATGACTTGGATTGAAGGTGCTTACTCTTCTCCTTTAATTGTTCCTGCTAATTGTTTATAAATTGTACACCCTCCATCCCTAAAAAAGTCCTTTTTATAGACTTATTTTTGTCCCAAAAAGCTAATTTTCATTAGATCTAATGTATTTTTTAATTAAAGAAAAGTATACCAAACTAGTTAAATAGGATAAATTTAGTAAAACCAACAAAGAAATTTAAAGTTTTAGCCATAATGGATGATTTCCAGTAGTTGTACCATGTTAAACTTTAAAAGTTGTACCTTGGTGAAAATCACCGTTTTTATGGGACAGGCAGTTATACCTATTGGAAGGAAGACAATGACATAACTTGGCTAACGCCCCCCTCCCTCCGTTTTTTTAGGTTATTTCTTCTTTCATCTAACCAACCTGTTCAAGTTATATAACATGATATTTTATTCGTTTGCTTAGTATCATGCATATGCAAAGAAAAGAAAGAAAATAGCCAGCCAATTGTATGACACAGAGAAGTTGGGCGATTCTTTTCTTGCCATAGGAGAGTCATATCATAAACTTAGGAAGTTTGATAAGGCTCTGAAATGGTACACAAAGAGCTGGGAAAAGTACGAAGTAATTGGCAACTTGGAGGTAACATTATGGAATCTTGACTTGTATTTCACTTTTTCTATGTGAGGTCATATAAAATGAAGATTTAATATTTCTTTTTGCATAGAAGTTCAAATGAATTTAGACTCTATGCAAAAGGCTTTTGCTATTACAACAACAACAACAATAACCCAGTTGAATCCCACTAGCGTAGGGTCTGGTCTGTGTACGCAGACCTTACCTCTACCCGAAAGTAGAGGTAAAAAAGCCAATGAAATAAAGCTTTTGCTATTATGGAGTGTAATTTGATTTTTGAGCTTTAACTAGTATGAAGTTTGCTTTTAGACTTCTGAAATCTTAGTTAATGCTGATAGTGATTTCAGGGACAAGCAATGGCAAAAATCAATATTGGAAATACTTTTGATTCTAAAGGTGATTGGGAATCTGCTTTGGCTTCTTTTGAAGAGGGTTATAGGCAAGTATACACACTTGGCTGCTCAAATAATTCATATCAAAGCTCTATGATGAACTAGTTTAGTACTTCAGAAGAGATCCTCTTAACCTATGGTTTGGTTACTCATTTTTCCCTTCAGGATTGCTGTTAAAGCAAACAAGCCTTCTACTCAGCTGGCTGCTTTAGAAAATATGCACTATAGTCAAATGATAAGATTCGATAATGTGGAAGAAGCCAGGTAAGTCTTTTTTTTATCCCCGACAAAGCTTTCTGATAGGAGTTAGGACCCAAAAACTCAGTGCAACAAAATTTCATCTAAAATTTGCTCGGTTTGGCGATATAATATTCTGGTGCATTTTATTCTCATAACATTTACTCTAATACTACTCCTTTCACAAACATGTTTTATGAAATGGCTGTCACATATTCAAATCTAGACTCGTTTTCAGATATTCAATTGTAGCATATAATAATGACAAGGTAGTTATTTGCAACCTTGAAACAAAATAGAGTTTATTAAATACGTAATACTAAAGATGTTTTTATGCAGGAGGCTACGGGTGTTGATTGACAAATTAAAGAACTCAGCAAGTGAATATTTTGGAGTGCATGATGTAGATGGGGGTTTGTGCTCTGAAACAGATACGGGGTTTTCACCAACGAAGAGTGAATTTTGTAATAAAAAATTAAAATTTCCTGACACTGCTGATCAATCATGTGAAGATTTACCTTTGAATTCGTTGTTTGGTACTAAAAAGCTAGCTAAGAGGAAAACTAGTTGTACATCCTCTACAAATCCATCTGATTGTTTGCCTAGAAGTTTATCCAAATCAAGTAGTAGTCAGGCTGGGACAATGGGTCGTAAGCGTACCCGCATTGTCCTTTCTGATGATGAAGAAAATGCTGAGGTGCTTTTCTCTGGAGGGCTTGCTAATGTACATGATGAAGATAATATGGCTTCTTTTCCCCATGATATGTTATATAAGGTTGCTGGGGAAGATGTGGCTACATCAGATAATTGTAAGTTGACCACAAACCTATTTCATTATTTACTTGTATCATATAGTCCATCATCTTCGATGGAGCCAAAGATTCACTATTTTTTGGCTTTGGGGTATGATGGAATAAAGCAAAGTCACTCTTTAAACTGTCTGCGCTTGTCTGCGCTTCTTTCAATAGTGAAATAGCAGTTAGTCAATGCAACTTTCGTTGCTCATCACGGGTCATCCAGAAACAATCGCTCTATATTTTAAACATAGGGGTCAGGTTGTATACATCCGACCCCCCTTACCCCGCAATGGGCGGGAGCCTTTCAGGCACTAGGGTAATGTTGTTGTTATTGTTGTTGTATTTACTTGTTTCATATCAACGTAAAGTTGACACTACTTTGGCCATATGCAGTTAAAAGTGGGAAACAACAGTGTACTAATGTTCAGAAGGACCAATGGGTAACATATTTAACCGCAACTTTTTCGTGTTATTTTACTTTGAAGAAGTGATACCAGCACTAAGACACCAATTGCTCTTTTTCTTTATTGTTACAGGATGTCTCACCAGTAGCCTCAAAATGCATAGTTAATGCTTGCACAGCTATGAATATTGAAGAGAGCGCCTGTTCTGACAAATCCAGGACTTCAAGATCAGATCATAACAATTTCAGATTTTCCAGCCCACACAAGACTGTTGAAAATTCCAAGTTATATGCTAATGACAACACAATACATGCTAATAGTGTTTGTGTTGATGAGCATTGTGTAAGTGCAAGGTTGCAATTCATTTATGATGTCATTTCTTATTGTATGCCACATCTATGTTTATTTTGTAGACAAATGTGCACTGCCGATTAGCTGTTAGGTTACTGTGAAGTTATGGTTTTCAATTCTTAGTTCATTAAATTCTACAAGCATGTGATAGATAATTTGAAAGAAAATGCTCAACAAAGTTAGTGCCTTTTTTAGTTGAAGAAGTTTAACTAGTTCTAGTTATTTGCAGAATATATCTTGATTACCTATCTTAATTGCAGAAGCATATTGTTGTTAAAATTGGTGAAGACTATGTTCATATTGAACAAGAGCTGTGCATTATTGGATCTAGTATCAGCATAGATCAGCTGAAGGTTGAAGTGGCATGTATGTACTACATACAACTGCCTTGTGAGAAAAGATCAAGAGGTAGACTTTAATTCCCAGTAATGAAATGATTGAGATAAGTGATTATTGGTCAGTTCCTATTCTACGTATTCACAAATGGATACTTTGTCCTAATTATTTTTCTGTTACCAGGGAATTGACATTCCTTATTCCTAGCAATAACTTTGTACGTAGTATAACAGTCAATTCTTCTATGAAGCTCTATGAATTATGAATCTAATGAAATGCTGGTTAGTGGTTTCCACTGTCTAGGATTCATAGTTAATGCATTTGGTGTATATATCTGTGCTACATCATCAATTTATCTGGTTTTGCGATCTACTCATTTGCTTTTTTAATAATACGTCACTCACTCTTTAAACTATCAAATAATGCTAAACAACCCACAGCTTTGTGATGGTCTGCAGCCATGTTCCACGTTGTACATGTTGATTTTAGAATATCAATTTGGCAATGGAAGCATGGATAGCAACGTCTTTTCCTTGATATTTTTCATGCACAATGGAAGAAACCTATGACGCCTTTAGTAGAACTTTGCCACTACTTTAGTGCATGAGTTTATTTATTTTATGCTGCTGACCACAACGTAGTTGTCTAGTTGAGACTATTCAAATTTCTCAGCTCACTGGCAACAACAAAAAATGCTGTTACCAAAAAATGCCACGAAGTCTTGAACACAGATTCACCTGTTTTTACAACTGACAAAAATGAGACTGATTGAAATTCTTATATTCTATATTGGAAACCATAACGGAGGAAAGGTTAATACTTAATACAAATACATCCTCCCTCACTGCATTGAAAGTCTAAATTATGAAAATGTATCACTTATTGCTAATTATCATTAAATATTTGAATTGCCTTGTCAGGCCTAGTTCCAGTTATTCAACACGTTAAATATGATGGAAGGGTTCTTGAATCCTTCGAGGCAGTTGATGTTCTCAATGACCACTTGAGCAGAAAGAGTTGCCTTGAAGCTTCACTTGGTGGTACTAACCTTGTTACCATCATAAGTTTTGTTGTTTTTGTTTTCTTTTTAAAGTTACACTTTAACGTAAGTTATTTCACCATCCTTATTTGATACCTTTTCCTACTTTCATACTATCCATTCATTATTTTAGCATTAAATGTAGTCCCTCTGTCCCGAATTAATGGTTTCACTTCATAATTCACAGGTCAAACATTTTCTTCTTTATGTATTTTCTTTAATTATTCGTTAAAATATCATAGTCTTGTCACCTCTTATTTTATAGAGAACTTGATGTAGTATTTTAATATGTAACTTTTAAGGAAGCCCGCAAAGAGACTTTTAATTTGGGATGGATGGAGTATAAAATCTGAAAACAAGGTCTATATATATTCTTATGAAAATGAAGTTACAATTTTTTTTGTTTGAAATGCTTGAAAGTAGGAAGCCCGGTAAATAATTGCAGAGTATATCCATGCATTTTTAATGTTCATAATAGCATTCTGTTGATAAAACAGCAAGCTCGATTTCCCTCTAGAATCCAAACTGTGAGTAATTTTACCTTGTGCTATTCGGCTGGATAGTTCCATCTGATAGTTCTTTTTCCTGTTGGGACATTGGTGCCTTTGGATGTTATATTAGTAACTACGGAGTATAATAACTGAAACACGTATCTTGGTTATTGAACATGGATTTTTCGGTGCTTATAACGTAAGGAAGCTCCTGCCCTCTTTCTTAACAAAAAAGCTCCTGCCCTCTTTACATATTATATGATTTTTTCTTTCTGCAAAGAGCCAAAGATGTTTCATACGCTGATAAGGATCTAACAAATATGTGCAGTGTGGGTACCTAAGCCTTTGGTGGAACTATATACTCAGTGCTGTAAAGAGCTATCTGAGTTACCCAACATGAACGTTCTCAAGAAATTGTATAATCAAGAGGTTAGTGTGTGTATCACTCAAGTATTAAGCAAATCTAGTCCTCTGGAAAGTGCTTTCAAGTTTGTGATGCAAGAACCTCACTTGGAGAAGCTAATATGGTTTGATTGCATCCTCTTATCAGGTGTCAGAGGACGAGATAGTTGTATCTGGATGTGAATTGCAAGAAATATCAGTGACACCATTAGTGAATGCAATAAATAAGCACCAAACAGTTGCTTCTCTAGACCTTTCACACAACCTGTTAGGTAGTGACAAAGATGAATGTTTGATTTTGATCTTCAGGTTTAATTATCTTTTGGTTATTGTCATAGATAAAAATCATTTGTACTCATTTGATCTTGTCTGATTAAATTTTCTAGGCAATGGAACAATGGAGAAACTTAAAAAAGTATTTACTGCATCACATCAGAGCTATGGTGGGCTGGCTTTGGATTTGCATTCTAATCGATTTGGCCCAACTGCTTTGTTTCAGGTGGAAACTCATGTTTTAGATTTAAATAATTGTTCATTTTTTCAATTAACCTTCACTAAGATATTAAGATGCCACATTGAATCCATGGACTAAATTGTCACAATAGCCCAGTTACTCTAGAAATGTTTTGGAAGTGAAGGTTAGTCTTGTAGAGAAATATACTATGAAGCTAGTGTTAGGCCATGGGAGTGGACAGATTGGATTGTGCTATTGTTTTCCTTTTCTGGCACATGCTAATTACTGATTTGAAGTACATGGAAATGGTTCTCAGTCCTTAGGCGCATTGACGGTGCACAACGCTTCACATGAGATGATAGGGTATGTCTCATGGCATTTGACTCTCTACCTGAGTCAGTATGGATAGGTTTCACTGTTTTGGGGCTTGAATAATGAGGTGTGGTGGGCATAAAACGGAAGGTTAGTTTCTACTCATTAGCATGGCATACTCTAGGCAGTTTTGGACATGTCACATGTCTATGGAAAGCCCAGCTAGTCAGAGTGGTTTTTAGGATTTGCTGTTGGCTTCACCCTTTATGTTGAGTTGGTTTTAGATGTAGACGGGTTTAAGGCGTGAATTGTCCTAGATTATGTCTATTTTGTTTCCACATTCGTAATTTGCCTATCACTTTTGATTATCACAGTCCACTGATGTAGTGTTCACTGATGTAGCTGTAATTAAACTAGCATTGTGTCTGACTGTGAGGATATAACTCTTGTAATATCATTTTATTGTTTCAATTCAGTCTGATGTGAATCAACCTGCTTTCATTCCCCTATCTAAAGAGTTCTAGTTTCCATTGAACTGTCACAAAGAACATTATAATTTGTGTTCAAGAATGACCTGAAAATATTGTAGGAGCAAAATTGATTTGGGTTGGAACACACAAAGAAGGGCATAATGAAACCCGATCATGCAATCTCGGGGACCTAGGGAACCTTGATATTATTTCACATAGTAATCTTATGGCTACATATAACTTCCATCTTTTGCAATTTAGGAATACCAATTAAGAAGTATGATGAAGTATTAAGGTAAATGAAATTATTTATATGGATTTATCTCTAAGTGAAGAATTAAAATAAAATAGTGGGATTCATTACATATTGTAAAGTTAACTTTTGTTGATGTTTTGAACTTCACTGTGGAATATTACTGGTGGACCTGGTAGTGGTTTGAACTTTCACTCCTCTCAAGTTGATATGACAGATGTCGTAGAGATTTGAAATAAAAGTCCATTTTTTTAAATTTCGGAGTTGTTGGGACCAAAATCAAACTTTAGAGCTTGTGTGCACGGTGGTTTTGTGGGGTTGCATCACGATCCAAGCTTAAACTGAAAGCTTATCATAGTTCAAGCATAGACTGAGAAGGATTAAGACCGAGTATATGGACTGCAAGTTCAATGGCAAACGACATGAATTGGAAGAGAGGTGAAGGTCGATTCTCAACCCATCCCTAAAAGAGATTGGTTTTATGTACCTTGGATCAATCACTCATCCAGCCCATCCCAAAAAGAGATTGGTTTCATGTCCCTTGAATCTATCACTCATCCAAGGAGATGCTGTAATTGACAATGATGTCGCTCTTGTATCAGAGCAGACTGGACGAAATGGAGGTTCACATCCAAAGTCATATGCAACAAGAACATGCCACGAAACTGTAAAAATAAGTTTCAGACTAGCTATGTTGTATGGGAAAAAGTGTTAGCCTGTTAAGACCACCCATGTGCAGAAGCTTATAGTAACGGAGATGAGGATGCTTAGATGGATGTGCGGAATACTACGACAGAAGACCATAAATGAGGATATGCAGGACAAGGTAGGAGTGACTTCTCTTGAAGACAAGATGCATGAATCAAGGTGAAGGTGGTTCCTGCACGTGCATTAAAGGAGCATTAATGCCCTGTGAAGAGGTTTGAGAGATCGACGGTGGGGAATTTGGAGAGAGGTAGGAGTAGACTAAGGGGGTGTTTGTTTTTTGGCCAGAAGAGCTTCTGGCCTCTTTTGTCTGCGCCGCGCAGACGCGCGCAGATGCTGAGCTCTGCAGATTGTTTGTTTTTTGGAAGACATTTCACTCAAAAAGGTCTTCCTGGCATCTTCTTGGAGAAGACATTAACCTATGTCTTCTAACATCTTCTAACATCTTCTCCATTTTTTCTTCTACTTTTCTTCACCACCACCACCACCGCCCACCACCGCCA